CTAAATATTCATTGGAAAGACTGATGCTGAAGCTGAAACTCTAATACTTTAGCCACCTGATGCTAAGAACTGACTCATTGGAAAAGACCCTGATGCTGGGAAAGATTGAAGGCAGGAGGAGAAGGGTACAACAGAGAATGAAATCATTGGATGGCATCATAGACTTGATGGACATGAGTTTGAGCAAGCTCCGGGAGTTGGTGATGGACAGGAAAGACTGCCTTGCTGCTTGCTGCAGCCCATGGGGTTGCAAAGAGTTGGACAGAACTGAGCAACTGAACTGAGCTGAATAAAAATATACTGCCTGTACTCTAAAAAACAGTGCACTGGACTTTGGAATTAACATCCAGGTTTCAAATTATGCATTTAAACCTAAACTAAATTTGTTGCTAAAGGCCATCATCTGGGAAAATATGACTACTTTGCCTATTGAATTTAGGACAGTGAAACTATCATGTTCTTCAGATCAACTTTTATATATAAAAGTCTCTGTGCCCAACTGAGATGGCCTCTCCCAACTTAACCAGATAGGGAAAATGTAAGTGGACCAATAAAAGACCTCATGACAAAATGGGATATAATCAATATATTGAGTCAGAAAATTAAATTTAATGGCAGGGGGTTTAAGGCAGAAAGAAAATCTCAGTAAAGATTTTTTAATGGCTTGGCAAAGAAATTTTGTTTTTATACATAGCTTTTTTTTTTCCATTTATTTTTATTAGTTGGAGGCTAATTACTTTACAATATTGTAGTGGTTTTTGCCATACATTGACATGAATCAGCCATGGATTTACATGTGTTCCCCATCCCGATCCCCCCTCCCACCTCCCTCCCCACCCCATCCCTTTGGGTCTTCCCAGTGCACCAGCCCTGAACACTTGTCTCATGCATCCAACCTGGGCTGGTGATCTGTTTCACACTTGATAACATACATGTTTCAATGCTCTTCTCTCGGATCATCCCACCCTCGCCTTCTCCCACAGAGTCCAAAAGTCTGTTCTATACAGACTTTTTTCTGTGTCTCTTTTTCTGTCCTGCATATAGGGTTATCGTTACCATCTTTTTAAATTCCATATATATGCACTAGTATACTGTATTGGTATTTATCTTTTTGGCTTACTTCACTCTGTATAATGGACTCCAGTTTCATCCATCTCATTAGAACTGATTCAAATATATTCTTTTTAATATACATGGAAAAGATGAATAGGTTGAAATATTGTGAAAGACAAGCTCCCAAAAATAACCAGATAGAGAGCAGCAAATAGTAAAGGGATATTAAGTTGATGCCTTGATTCTTGACTGTTATAATGTAAGTATGTGGAAGTAGATAGAGATTATGTTATACTAAATCAAAGAGATGAGACTCTAAGGCTAGTTTTCATAACAGTGGGTTGTCATGGGCAGTTTTCTAGTCTGACCAGTTAGAAGAGTTGGCTTTTTATTTTGGTTCTGATACAGTGTTTGCACAATTTTATACAAGTTATTTATAGATTTTTACCTAAAACTGGGCCTTGTAACATCTTCTCACTCTGTATCACTATTTCACTTTGAGAATAAAAAGATATGGGATTTTTTAATGCTCTACAACAAAAATGGTGTATTACAACAATATAATTAGTAAGTAGAGATAGTATATGAATATTTTCTGGCAGAAAAGTTTTGGATTCAAGCCAGTTTGGAAATAGTGAGGAAGGGCTAACTTCCCAAGTAGATAATAACTAATGGATGAGAATTATTAAAGAAAAGAAGATGGTATTTTTGGAAGCCAAATATGAAGAGGTGGAAGGGAGGGGGTGAATGGTATCAAAAAGATAACAATTTTGCCTGAAGAAGTCTAAAAATTGTCATTAATGTAAAGGGTATCTTTAGTAGATAAAGTTAATAGAGAAATACTATAGAATAAAAGCTATTAAAGAGAATCCAAGTGAAGAAATGAGATAAGAAAATGACTTGAAGAGATAGTTAGGTGCTAAGACATGCCATTTGTGAAACAATGTGACGTGTTCCAAATTTGCTTATAGTTTTTATGCACATGATTTTTAATGCATATATTTCATTCTCAATCCTGTGAGATGTCTGTGATGCAAAGCAAATTTCTTCCCTGAGCATCCCTTCTTTACTTTACATGAATTTGTATTTTAGAATGATAGGCTATGTTGATGTCTTTTAATACCTGGTAGACATGGTGCATTAAGATTGTTTGGTGAATTATGAAAATTAACATTTTGTTCCAACATGCTAAGTGTGTACTCCTTTTACTTGGGAAGTACAGACTTTTTCTTACACAAGCCAGAGTTCAGAATTTTTTCCTTTGGCACTGGGATTTCTTTGATCAACTTTTCATTCTCAGCTCCTTCCAAAATATTCTGAAAATCAAAATAGAACAAAAACTGCTTTATTGACATCTTGACATCTCAGTTAATAGCCACCTTTTAGCATATGTCTTCTTGAAAAAAGAATGCTTCAAAAGTAGAAAATGGGAAAACATGGATGCAAAAAAAGTATTATGTCTGAAACAGAAGTTTCTTGTAGCTGCTTTTTTCTTTCATTTGAGTTTTTTTTTTCCATTTCTCTCTGAGAATAAATGGTTATAGTGGGAATAGTGTCATTTTATATTTTACATTGCACTCAGCAATTAATAAATGCAAATTATAACTATAGCATCAGTTCAGTTCAGTTCAGTTGCTCAGTCATGTCCGACTCTCTGCGACCCCATTAATTGCAGCACACCAGGCCTTCCTGACCATCACCAACTCCCAGAACTTACTCAAACTCATGTCCATCGAGTCGGTGACGCCATCCAGCCATCTCATCCTCTGTCGTCCCCTTCTCCTCCTGCCCCCAATCCCTCCCAGCATCAGGGTCTTTTCCAATGAGTCAACTCTTCGCAACTATAGCATGGTATTGTCCAAATCAGAATGTTACCTACTAATTAAGAAAACTTAATAGCCAGTGATCATCTTATTTCAGGGACAAAATGATAATTCAGAATTTTTATCTAGTATTTCATGACTATACATCCAAATGTTGCTCTTTTCATTACAGTTAAGGTTTCTTGGTAGTATACTGTAACTCTTGTGAATTTGAAAGAAAATTTTGCATAAGTTCACGGACTTGATTTTATAGGCATTTAACATCTGATCATTACCCTAAGGAAGAGAAACAAAAATAATTAAAAAGTAAAGTGAGAATGAGCTAAGGCATCCATTGTGGTTCATTCTCAGATCAAAAGGCCAAAAATTAACAGTCACAGAGAAAACCTCCTCTGACATGCATAGCAAGCATACTAATCATTTAGCAGTGGATGGGATAAACATTTTAACCAACAAAAAAGGTATTTGGTATTATTTGGTTTTGTTTGCTTTTTAGCTACTAACTTTTCCAGCAGCAAGTTACTGACACAAAAGAAAAGACTAAAATGCAACAAATCATACCTAAATGCTTTAATAAATAAAAATGACCTCACATTTTCCCAAATCATTATACCCAAGATCTATTCAACTGAGTTTGCTTAATGACTGGTCAGGACAGAGATCCTTTCACGGTACTATAGAATGTAAAGCAACTCAAGATAGACAAGTGGATCTTCTTAGCTTGCAAAAGTCACAGAGCTGTGTCAATGGGTCTCAATGTGAAGTTTTCTGGGCATGCTACCAAAGGTGTCGTAAATTAGTAAGGAGCATCGCAGTGTTTTTCAGGCTTAGTTCAATGCTCAGCTTTCCTTTCATGTTCCACATTTTCTTAAAGGATAAGTTTGTCAGCAGAGATCTGGAATTACCATGTGCAGGTCTCTCCACACTTCTTAATCTGTGTTATGGACAGTCAAATATTCCAGCTCATCCCTTACTACAGGGAGTTGGAAAATTTGGCTCTTCAAACAATCTCTATTTTATGACTTAAGTATTAAGTTTAGAACACTCCCTAGTGTCCCCTTTTTGAAAACGTATAGGAATGATTCAGTACTACATTTCTCCAAGGTAAATTAAATACCCAGTCTGGTATCTTACATTTGAATAACACCTTGTAAACGAAGGACTGGTTGAACCTTCTGTAAATGAAACTGAGAAAACTGAATGAGGCTCTTCTCTGAGGAATACTAGTACCTTATACACTCTATAAAATGTAAGTACTTCTTATCTCCAGTCAGTTGCTAGCATCCAACAGTGCTTCTGCATTTTCTATCATTTTTAATGTGCAATATGCAAAGGGAGTATCCTGTGAAGAGTTCTGAAAGAAGGAAGGTTCTTGGTTGAGGACTGCATCACTCCAAGCAAAGCTTCCCAAGTCCTTTTGTAAGACCATCCCATCAGCAACATTATCTTCCTTTTTGGAACCAATTATTCAGTGATTTGGGAATTTGTTATGCCTTTAGCCCTTATCTTGAAGCTTTGAAAGATAAAGTAAGCTAGTGGTTACAATACAAGACCAGGTATCAAAAATCCCAGGAAATGTAATTCACTGTGATTTTACATAGCTTAGTTTCTGGTCCTCTGGTTTCTGCATCAATATGCTATCCCTCGTGAAATGTAATCCCTGTTAATGCTTTGAAAATCCCAAATGAATGAACCAAAGTAAATAAAAAATAGTTTCTATAGTTTGTTCAAACTTTTTTCTGAACTACTCCTTCTATTTCTTATTAGATCCATTTCTTTAATGAAAATTATGCTATAATTTCTCCAGACAGGGTCCAAGTTAGCTACCCTGGATATAAGATACATCCCAAGAAATAAATTACATTTAGGAAACAAACATCACTCTAACAATAACTGATCTAATAATTCTTCATTTCAAATGCTATATAATGTCATTCCTATTAAATATATATTTATGTTTAAATGCATTTATATGTATATACTTTTTCTGAGCCGATTGTTTAATAAATATTTCCATGGTGAAATACCTAACTGAAATTTCTTACAGTAAATAAACTCAGGGACTAGTTGAATCATGTTTGTTATAGCATTTTAAAACTAAATCTTATCTTCACTTCCTTGTAGCTTATTAGAACACAAAATCTTTGAAATGGAGGGAAAGCACAAGGAAGAATTGGACACCTTAAAGGAAGAGAAAGAGAATCTTCAAGGCTTGGTTACTCGTCAAACATATATAATCCAGGAACTGGAGAAGCAATTGAACAGAGCCACCACCAATAACAGTGTGCTTCAGAAGCAGCAGCTGGAGCTGATGGACACAGTGCATAACCTTGTCCACCTCTGCACTAAAGAAGGTAGTGAGAATTCTTCCTTACTTTGGCTATAGTAAATATTTTGTTTAATATAGAGCAAGTAAATATCCAATATAACTTTCTAAGTTGCATTGATGGCTAGTATAGAAGCAGCAAAAGAACTTTATTCTTAGAAGCATTTAATGAAGTTTGCACTGACAATTTTCCCACGTTCTTAACTTCAGAGAAATTTTTCATAAGCTTGAATTCTTGAATTCACCATATCTTTCTAATTTCTCATTTTTTATTGGCCTTTTTGACTTTAAATAAAATCTGTTATGTTCTCATGGATAAATATTTAGCACTGTAGTGTTAGACACTGAACTATACAGGACAGAATTTAGACACTATTAAAGATTAGTTCATATTACTTAGAAGAGTTTCAGGAGCATTCCCATTTTAAAACTATTTCTTTTGCAGTGGAGGAGAGGGAAGAGTTACCTGCAGAGGGAAAGAGGTACAGAAGTTCCTAATAACTGTTATGAAGAAGAAGAAATATTTGTTAATAAAAGTCTGTTTTAGGATTATTTATGTGGTCCTGTATGGAGAAGACCTAACCAGGGCATATGAACAAACTTATTCTGGGCTGTCTTCATGATAGTGAAAGTACAAAATTTTAATACCCACCGGAATATCTGGAGCCATTTAGTCACTGGAAATATTGTAGGCCTGTGTCTCTTTAGAAGACATCCATCCATCTGTCCACCTTCCCACCCATCAATTATTGAATAAATGCCTCTGTGTGTACTTGTTCACTTCAAGCAGAACCTCACCTGAGCCTCAGGAGAACTCTTCAAAGTTTGGAGCTTCTATAGTTCTGCTCACTAATTGGCCTTTCTGTGAGTGAGCATGGACGTGTAAATGGTGAAGAATGAAAGAAAACACCACTTACCTCTGAAGGTCATGGTTGTCATTAAGCTGTAGTTTATGTGACCTTTCATGTAATGATTCAGTGCTCATATGCAATGTACATAATTGGAGGCTCCTTTAACAGTGGACTTGAGCTATATTAAAAATAGCTCAGTTCCATAGTCTCATGTATAGATATGAATACAGAGGATAACTCCATTTTAAGTGATCTTGTTTTAAAGACATTTAGCATTTCTCTATTACACTCCATTACCTTCAGTTCTATCTCCTTTAGATAGTCTAAACAAGTCCTTAATATACTTTGTGAAGAATATTTTTTAAACAGTGAGTTCCCAGGGCTCCATTTGTGTGTGCTCAGAAATGTGATTGAGAAGGAAAAAACCTGCTAATCAGTCAGAGCCTGCCAAAACCTTGAGTTAGAGTCCACTGGAAGGAAAACATGATAGAATTTTGCCAGAGAATTTTAATAGAGCTCATGAGTATTTAGAAATTAAGTATTAATATGAGACATATCTATTCTCATATTGAACTGAATACATTAGGGGAAAAATTGAAAACATATTTTTCTTATCACCCTGAGACGTAATGCACATGGAGTTGAGTAGTTCTTTTTTTTTTTATGATGTTAGAAATATCAAGCCCTGGTGATTCCCACAAAGCTCATATGTCTGCCTACTTATCATAGTTTCACTTCTTTTCTAAGTACTTGTCCAATAAATATGTCTTTAAACTTTCGCAGGCAGGAGGGTGACTTCAAAATTAAAATTCCTGGCTCGCTTTGGTCTTTGGGTGCAACATCAGGAATCAAACATCTGTTCAAGAAATGTAATTTATTAAACAATTACAATGGCACTCCTGATAGATGCTACCCACAGCATCACTCAGCATATGAGAAAAGTAACTATGCCTATTCTATTATAGAGCATATCCAAAAAATAACTGGAGAATTAAGTGGTAACCCACTCCAATATTCTTGCCTGGGAGATCCCATGGACAGAGGAGTCTGGTGGGTTACAGATCGTGAGATTTCAAAGTCGGACACAACTAAGTGACACTACAAAGGGAGACAGAAATTGTCTAATACTTCATACCTGTAGACATTTATTTTATTTTTAATGATTAAATTGTAAAACAAAGCCTATTTAACTATATTTTGTAATCCGACTTTCACACACACACACACAATGTAAGCATATTGAGCTATTATCCGATGGATTCTATGCTCTCATAGTGTGTGAAAGTCGCTCAGTCGTGTCTGACTCTTTGCGACCCCCTGGACTGTCTATGGAATTCTCTAGGCCAGAATACTGGAATGGGTAGCCTTTCCCTTCTCCAGGGGATCTTCTCAACCCAGGGATCTAACCCAGGTCTCCCGCATTGCAGGCAGATTCTTTACCAGCTGAGCCACAAGGGAAGCCCAAATAGTGAAAGTCACTCGGTTGTGTCTGACTCTTTGTGATCCCATGGACTGTATAGTCCATGGAATTCTCCAGGCCAGAATACTGGAGTGGGTAGCCTTTCCCTTCTCCAGGGGATCTTCCCAACCCAGGGATCGAACCCAGGTCTCCTGTATTGCAGGCAGACTCTTTACCAGCTGAGCAACAAGGGAAGCACAAGAATACTGGAGTGGGTAGCCTATTGCTTCTCCAGGGGATCTTCCTGACCCAGGAATCAAACCAGGGTCTCCTGCATTGCAGGTGGATTCTTTACCAGCTGAGCTATCAGGGAAGCCCATGCTCTCATAACCATAGATTTTATTTGCTTCCTGTTAGTCTTTTTTTTTTTCTTCTCTAGTCCCACAGTTAAGTATTTTACTAAATATTTGGTGATTTAAGAATTCATTAGACACAAAAATGGAATGTGTCTCTAAGTTTTCTACAAAGATTTTACTTCATTTTCACTGTCACCATAGCATTTAGTTACAGTGAATTTAAAACTTTAAATAAATAACTTTGCATAATAGTAGATTAAATGCATGTGTGCTAAATTGCTTTAGTCGTGTCTGACTCTTTACAACTCCATGGGCTGTAGCCCGCCAGGCTCCTCTGTCCATGGGATTCTCTGGACATTGGAGGGGGTTGCCATACCATCCTCCAGGGGATCTTCCTAACCCAGGGATCAAACCAATGTCTCCTGCATTGCAGGTGGATACTTTACCGTCTGAACCACCAGGGAAGTCCACTAGATTAAATATCGGTTACTGAAACAAACTTATTTCATTCTAATTTTAAAACATATGAGTAAAATATTTTCCTTCTTAAGACCAAAAATTCATTTATCAAGTAAATTTGTTATTTATCAAAGATTATACACAAATATTCTATCTTTAAAAATAAATATATGTAAATAAGCTTAAATCTATTCATTACAATAAATGCACCACTTTTCTAAAATGTGTATTTAAAAAAAAAATGTGCAAAGAGTAGTCTTCTGAGTTTCAAAAAATCTGTGTCATAATCCAAAAAGCCAAAAATTTTAATTGACCTAAGGGTCTTCTCACTCTAACTTGACTAAGTCAGTCATTTATGGATACAGCCTAAATATAATACTACAAAGCAAAAGAAAAAATTTCTACTGAGTTTTTTCCTGTCATTGGCAACAAATTTAATCTTTATGAAGCTGTTTAATCATTTATAGGGGTTTCCCTAGTGGCACAGTGGTAAAGAATTCATCTGCAATGCAGGAGAAGCAGGAGACACAGGTTCAATCCCTAGGTAGGGAATATCCCCTGGAGGAGGAAATGGCAGCACACTTTAGTATTCTTGCCAGGAAAATCCCATAACAGAGGGTCTAGTGAGCTACAGTAATCGGGTGACAAAGAGTCAGATAGGACTGAGCACGCTAATCATTTCTTGTGTAGGATAATTATATCTACTTCACAATAATAGAGCATTAAATTAGATACTTCATTTTAAAATAAAAGTATGTGACATATTTGATTCATTAAACATTAGTTCCTTCCTTTTCTTCCAAGTGACAAAATTCAACTAAATGCAAATTTATTAAGTGCTAGTTATAAGTAAAATTTCTTTCACAGAAAATGTCTGAATACAGCGCTCTAGTGTGTCTGACTGTTGACAGTCATCCGAGTCCCTTCTTTTTAACTTCAGTTTCCAAATCACTAAAATGGAATCATGATATTCAATTCCTAGTGAGTAAGAATTAACAGAGGTTTGTATAAAACTCATAGCATCAAATGTATGTAGTATTTTTTTTTACTTTCATTTTTTTTACTAAAACACTTAAACTCATCTAAAATCGTTCAGCAAACCTTTCTCTTGTTGTCTTAACAGGCAATAGTAGTATCTTAGGCAAATAGTCATTGCAAACTGAATTGTGTCTATTTTGTAAGACTTCTGAGTAACACACTTATTTTTGTTTAATCTTTGTCTGCAAACACTTGGTTGCATTTATTCTTAGAAACATTACCACTGAAGAAATAAATATTGCTCTCAATGTTATCATAGTGTCAAAGCTTAGTTGATTGCTTCAGGTTTTTGGCAATTCAAGTTATTCTGGGAATTAAATAGTTTACATTGATAATAGCATGGAAGCAACGTTTAGAATTCTTTGGGGGAGGATAATCAGGTACTGTGACTATCAACATCCAGCAGTCATCTCTGTTCAGAGATGATTGAAGTATCATCATGTACCTTGAACACACCAGACAAACATGATATTATGTGACCAAGAATCTAATTATTAACAAATCATAAAAAATAAGAAAGAAAAAATACAGAAAATAGTATTTAGGCCCCATCATAAAATTACACTGACTGATTTTCTTACTGTCCAAATCAGTTTAGAACGTACTCCTGTGATACCAAGATATGATTTATAAACTTGTCATTCATTCATTAAATAGTTATACAGCAACTCTTTTGCTTCAAATTCTCTTCTGAGGATAAAGATATCCATCTATTTTTATTTAACAAATATTTGCTGAGTTCCTGTAACATGCCAGGTACTGTTCAGACCACTAGGGAGAGAGAAAATATACTGTCTGTGGCTTCAAGAAAACTAGAATTTGGTGGGGAAAGAGATAGGTAAACAGACAATTATATTTCGTAAATATCTGCTAGACGTGAGGCCAGGGTGCCAGGGGACTAGTGAAACTCATGGGAAGAATACTAGAA